CTCTCTCCCTCTCTCTCATGCTGTCCATCCTTTTGCTGGTCCTTCTCTCTCCCGCTGCTGTCCACCCCTTTGCTGCTCCCCCTCTCTCCCTCTCTTCCTCTCTCCCTCTCTCCCTCTCTCCCTCTCTCCCTCTCTCTCTCTCCCTCTCTCCTCTTTCCCTCTCTCCCCCTCTTCGTCTCTACCTCTTTTGCTGTCCCCTTTCCTCTTCTTCCTATGTCTTCCGCTTGTGGAAAACAGAATGTGAAAGCACCTGGAATCGGCAAGTTGATGGCGAACGTTCATCCGAAGGTCGTCGAACGCTTTTATGGATGCGGCTCGCCCATTCCTCCGCTGCTGCATGGCTTGACTGTTCTGGACTTGGGGTGCGGAACAGGAACTGATGTGTACATTGCAGCCCAGCTAGTGGGGGAGAAAGGGAGCGTGATTGGAATCGACATGACCGATGAGCAGCTGGCGGTGGCGCGTGAGGTTGAAGATTGGCAGCGAGAGAAATTCGGTTACGCAAAGTCCAACGTCGTGCTAAAAACGGCTTTTATTGAAGATCTCAAGGCGGCTGACGTTGCCGACCAGTGAGTTTTTCTTTTCTGTAAATACAGCAACCAACAAATTTTAGTTTTTCCTTTTCCTTTTCCCTGTTTTCCACTTCTTATTTCTTTTTTAAGGGGCGGCGTGCAATGTTGTATTAACGGGGTAAGGGGAAGCTGGATGAATTGGGATAGAGCTTTTTTTTTTTTTCTTTGGTTAAATTGCAAAAATACCTTTTTTTTTTAATACTACTTTGCAAATATACCTACACAACGAACTTTAATGACAAAAATACTTTTTAGGTTGCGACAATACCCCTTTTTCCCCCCCTTCTCGGTCGCAACAATACCCCCCCCCCCCCCCCCCTTCTTTCTTGGTCACACCAATACCCTAATTTCATGGGAGAAATACATACCCTGTTTTACCTCAACAATAACCCCTTTCCGCGACTGTATTTGCCGTGAAACATTAAAAAGTGGCTATTTCTGCAATTTCCCCTTTTTTTGTTTTTCGTTTTTTGGTACTTGTGCATCACTTTCTGTTTTAGATGTCTCTTCTGTTTGTTTGTTTGTTTGTTTGTTTGTTTTTTTGTTTGTTTTTTCCTCCTTTTCTTTTCTTTCCTTTTCTGTTTCTGACCTCCTGTCTTTTTTTTTTTTTTTTTTTTTT